AATAAAAAACAACTTAACAAAACCCCACTTCAATATCTCTCATCTACTTCTATAAGTAGGGTTTTTCAATTTCTTTCTGCATTGCCTTCCAACACATATTCATGACTTACACAAAATCATTTTCTGTTTTTTTGTTTGGTGTTACTAATGAAGAACCTCATGGTTTGAAGAAAGTGCTGTTAAAGCTTAAAGTTCAAACCTCTCATATGGCAGAGAATGACTGCTTCCAAATACAGTTATGATGTTTGAAAAGCAGTTCTAACAGAGCATGCTGTTGTTCTCCTTTTTGTGTCCTAATTTGTATTTCCCGCTCGTGACCTTTTAGTTCTGGAATGTACGCATGTTTGTGTAACTTTTGTTTCTCTCTGTGAAATAAATGAGCTTCTGTCGCTGAAAAGCCTGGCGTAAAGAGAAAGAAAGGATCAGAGTTCAAGCTGATTTTCAGAAGTAAACAAACCTATGAATTKTTAAAAATAGATCTTTACTTTACTGCTGAATGAGTCTGACACCTAGTGGTGAACCCAGGGCATTACACTAAAATAATAATGTTAATTTGCTGCTTATTTCCAGTTGTTTCTCTTTCCCTTTGTATAATCTGAAGAATTGGACGGCCAGGAAGACAGATGTGTTTTTATTGTATATTTGACAACATTTATTCTGCATTTATTTGATTATTTATCTCATTTTATCAAACATGCTTGTCTTTATAAAACAAATGTGTTTTTGAAGCCTTTTTTTAATTAAGTCCTCTTTTCAAGCAGATGCGTGTAAAATGCAATTTCAAGCTCTCAATCTCATTCATAAGGAAACTGTTAATATTTGACTATGTAGTTTTAAATTTAGATTTTCTTACCTTAAACCTTATTTTAAAATCTACCAAAACAGAAACAATGGCTTCAAGAAATTCATAGTATTTAAACAAACACTTTTGCTCCTCTTCTCTCTGAAAGATCTTCATCACGGTGAACTGTCTGAGCACAGACTTCTCCTCTCAGAAGGGGGTGAAGGGTCTCCCTCTGATGATTCAGATCGACACATACAGCTACAACAACCGCAGCAACAAGCCACTCCACCGGGCCTACTCACAGATCAAGGTCTTCTGTGACAAGGTGACAATTTTTACCTCTTTGGTTCTGCTAAAAGCTTCACTTTTACTCCATTATCTCTGCTGGAACAAGAGAGAGTACAAATATAGACTTTTTTATGTTTGTGTAGTTCTTTATGCAAACTAAAGGCCATTAAAGAGTTTTTATTTGTTTATTAAAAGTCATTCTCATTTAAGTCKGAGATAGCTCTAAGAGATTGATTAGTTTGTTGCAGAAAAAAAAATATGGGTATAAAGTTAAAGGAMCTTCTGAGGGAATAATATATTTATTAAGTGGTCAAGCTGAAAGAAAGAACTGATAACAGATTACTCAAGTTTATACAGAAAGTTTGAAAGAGTTTAAATTACAAACCACAGCTCATTCCTAACACCAGTTCTCCCTCTAGTGGTCAGAAGGAGGATTAAAATATCCTGAGGTGTTTAACTTGTCACTTTTTTATTATCTTTTTTTTTTTTGTCTTTTCTTTTTGCCTCAGGGAGCGGAGAGGAAAATCAGGGACGAAGAGAGAAAACTGTTGCGCAAGAAGTCCAAAGGTTTGATGAGATTATAAAATGAAACAAATGTTTAAAAAATTAATTATGGGTCATATGTTTGTAATTTATAATTT